AGAGAGCTAGGTGGAAAATTAAATTAGTGAAAATGAAGTTTCATGAATTGTTTACAAATGCATGTATTATCTAAAACTAGTACTAATGTTGGTTTCCTTCCAGAGATACAATGCAAAAGATGTATGCAAAATGACAATATGTGCTCCTTGAATTGAATTGTTAGATTTTATAGTAATACTGTAGTATTACGTTGTAAGGCCGGTTACTCATGTTTAAGTTAGAATTTAATATTTTCAAACAGGTTGTTTAAAGATCTTATTTTATTTTAATAAATTATTTTTAGTTGACTTTTCTCTCCCTCCTGATTTCAGTTTCCTGCTGGAATGCTAGCATCAATGACGTAGTATGCAAAATTTAAGTGTGTTCAGAAGCAGTATTTAAGCTGAGGATACAAGAGTTCGTGAGGTGTAGTAGCAGAGTTAGTTCCGAGTTTATACTGCGTGTTGAAATAGTTCTCTGTTGTTAGCCACCCTCTTCAGATTATACTGATATTGTATGTTTGGCTTTGCCATGTTCAGTAATTTGGCAGTTTAGATAAATAAAGAACCAGTAATTTGGCCATTCTAATTTATGACGATTTTACATTTCTTATTTTCTGTTCAATTTATTAGCCACAAAGTGGTGATGAATTGTGAGCACCAAAAAAGTGCCTCTTTTTGCATTAGTTCAAATTAAAAACTTATTTAAACCTTCTTCTGTAGTATCTGTTCTTCAAGACAGCGAGAATTCGCTATGCAGTCTTTTCACATAAAGTCTACTGTGAATGACTCCACAATACCCCTATTTCAGACTCCACAATACCCCTATTTCAAATTTATTGCATTCAAATCTTAGAAGCATCAACATTCATGGCTATATTTTTGTGGCAAAGAAGCATGCGAAATCTGTTGAACTAAGAGTTTTCTTGAGTTTGGTGGTAAGGACCTAGATGTTAGAATTGATGGTAGAGACCACTGGATTTCACACCCTGGGGTGTGTAATCAAAGCTGGGAAGAAGCTTAGGCAGTTAGGCTCAGTCTTAAAGGGTTTATTACATACATAACTATTCAAAACAATAAATTATTACCAGTTTTATAAATGACAGGAAATAAGTCTTTGACCCAACATTTGGAGAAAATTACAGAGTGAACTTTTTCAATTAATTAATGGTCTATAGACTTCAACCTACAGCACAGCTTCAAAATGCGAACAAAATTTTTACAGTTTTAAAAATGTGCACATAAAGCATATATTTTTAAATTGCCAGTTGATATTTCACTTAAAATCCATAAATATAAAAAATTTTAAATATTTTTATAAATTATATTCATATTTAATTACTCAAATAGAAATATCACTTAATCCACTTTTGAAGTGAATAGTTTTAATCACGAATAATATGAAGTCGATGCTATAATCTACAAATCTTATATATTTATGAGGTTTTTGAATTTGGATTTTATAGGAGGATAAAAATATTTTAATTCTAAATAAGGACAATAAATATACATATAATCCTCATTAAACATACTTATAATTTAATTTTACATTACAAGTGTACAGATTTGTAAATAGAATACTTAGCAAGCTTAAGTTCTGAATCTGAGAATCTTTTTGAGTAACACAGCTCTTCATTTGCCTGCATGTTTACTTTTCAACAACAAATACTTCAAGAGCTTGCATACCTAAATTTGATCAAAAGGCAGGCTGACTTACTTTTATAATGTTCAAAATTCTTTCACAGTTTGCATTTAAATGAGGCATTATTAGAGCAGCAAGCATCAGAGTAATCAATACTTTGCATTTAATGCTTTCATTCAACATGCCAGTCTGTAACTTTTTTAGACGATCTACTTGATACATAAAAATCTCAATTTCTATTTGCAAAAAGTATTTTTCATCAATAATGAATTTGGTTTTCCAATCCGTGATATTCACCATGAAATGAAAGAAAGAAAATGCAACTTAAATTAATGCCAGCAACTTCAGCATACTTTAAAAATGGATAATTTGGAGGAAATTTTTCTATTATATTTGAGTATGCAGTTAAAAGAAAGGCATGTAATGATTTAAAAAATAATTTCACTTCAATTTCATTTAACTGGGTGTTTTAAAAATATAATCCCCATAAAAATACATTTTTACATGAATGATAACTGTGCATTAACTGCCCTGAAGAAGTTCGGAACATTAATGGCCATAAGACACGTTTCTAATCTAATATCCTTTAAGGGTTTGCAGAAAATGATTCCTAAATTTGAAGAGACTGGTTCATTTGACATGCAATCTTACAGACGGCAACTGCTTCAGTTTCAGTGGAAGATGTGGCTATGGCACTGCAAAATGAGATGAGAAGTGATGTGGGAATATGCGGTGGAAGGAGAATTGCTCAATCTTTAGACATGCCCACCAGCACGGTTTGTAAAATTATAGTAAACATCCTACAATGCTATCTATTCAAAATTATGCGTGTTAAGAGTTGCTTCTTATTTGTAATCATTATTTGTAATCTTATTTGTAATCTTCTTATTTGGCATGTCAATAGGCCAAAGTTTGCTCTACAATATCTTGCTCAGATGGAAATGGACAATGCATATCCATCGAACATTTTGATAGACTAAGCACATTTCCATCTCCATGGTTCTACCAATATTCAAAATTGCACAAAATGACAGAAAAAAAAAATTGCACAAAATGAAAGAAAAAAAAAATTGCATCTTAAGCCCATTAATGTTCGGAACTTCTTTAAAGCAAATGAAGTCATCAGGAAAGGAACTATTATACTGAACCTTTCTACCATTCTTGTAAAAAAGCTTCATAAGCAGAGGCTGATCCTTCGTTGACAAAGTCCTAACAAGCTTCTCAGATGCAGAATAACAGGAACTGCATGTACTCCATGTTTTTATCAAGTCCAATATATCAAGTCCAATATATATCATGTCCTTTAATTAGCATATTATGGTGAGTACAGCACCATATAAAGATGATATTTTGAACTATTTTCCTCCTTTCTCCATACACATTCTCATTGCTTGATGTTTATTTAGATGAAATTTCAGCTTATTCTGACCAGTGGTAATTTTTGTACAGCCTCTTGAAATTGGAACCTTAATTTTAAACATGCTGTACATACAATATTTTATTGGATCTCTCATTTAAAGCAATATACAGGTGTAATGAGATTATTCTGCTCTTTAATTAATCTATTTAGTGTGAATTTTATCAGTATTAAACTTTCTTATGACCTGCATATCTATATACTACATATATATGTGTGTACATGTATATACTAGCAGCTTCGCTGCCAGCCTTCTTTACAAATTTAATTATCCTAATAAATAAATTAACCAACTTCATTTTGCAAAATCTTAAGAATTCAAATGGTATAAAGGATGTTAAGAAGTTTGTTTCCTAAAAAAATCACTCAAAACTTTTCAATACCTTAAAAACTGTGAAATGAGCAATAACATATACAAAAAACAAAAATTTCTGAAAAGCAAAGTATAATTAATGATATTTTATCTTATATTTTCAAGAGAAAAAATTACAATGAAATATGCCAATCTCTTAAAAACAGTGACATAAGAAATATGATGAAAAATTGTTGCCAAACCCATATTTCTAAAAAAAAAAAATGAAACTATTCAAATGATGCGATTTCATCAAAAATTTTTTAACAAAAATAAGAAAGGAAAATTGTTGCCAAAATCACATTTTTAAAGATGTGAGATGTGAGTAGTGTACTCGGAAGCTTCATTTAAAAAAATTTTTTTAATAAAAAATATTATCATTTTTTCCAAAATTCTTTTTGTAAAAGCAGTCACAAGGATGAAAGTTTAACGTGTCCAAAAATCAAAGAAAAATAAACTGTACATTTTTAAAAATAAACTTTTTTAGAAAACATCCCATTGAAAAGGTGTTAAGCTCCCTTTGTTAAATAAATTCGTATTTAATCGATTTATTGAAACACAAAATTTATTTTAAGTTCGTAAAATAGCTAAGTGCCTACGTTTCATGACAATGTGAAAATGGAGTGTGGAGAATAAAATCTCGCTTTCCTGTAGCCCATTATGTTTCAAAATGACACGATTTTGTCACAAAACATAAAATAAAAAAAATTCGAATTTTGAAAAAAAATCGCTTCGAGGTGCACTGGCTCTTGTCTAGATGCACCTATGTACCAGATTTCGTAGCCATAGATCTATTAGCTTACGCGCAGCGCAAACAAAAGACACACACGCAGACAGACTCTTTCTTTTATTATATGTAGATATATATCAACTCATTTTTTAGAGTACACAAATTTATTATTTTTATGTAGCAGGAACTTAGTTTCCTTGCTAGTAGATTAGCAACTTGTTTTCACTATTCTATCAGATCCAGTTTTGCTGGCCTAATTTCCTCTTCATGGCACTGTCACTGGATCCTCTTCCTGCTGTTGAGTTTCCTAATTTGTCAAAGCCCTTTAACTGTAAAAATAAGTCTTTTGAGTATGCCCAAAGCCCAGAAATCTGCTTGCCTTCTTACTGACTTCAACCTTCAGATCCTCTCTGTCACACGTTACTTGTCCGAAATCTACAATTCACCATTTTTAGATTTGCATAATACATATGAATGGAAATCTGAACTAAGTAAAATTTACTACTAGAGATTTGATAACAGTTCCTTTCATGGTGACTGTAAATGCCAACTAAGAATGACTCAATATAACATACACAACCCTATGCAAATTAAATCCTTAAATATAAAAATACAATTATGGCACTGTGTTTCAACAATGATGTTATGCAGTTACCAATGGCTAATTACAGATGAAAATAAATAATTCCCCCCTGCTGACTATTTAGGACTTTGCAATGGTTTTGACCTCATTCTTTGGGCCAAGAATATTCCATCAATGAGTTTCTGCTAGTGTGTAAAAATTACTAACCTCGTTTTTAATCTGAAAATGACATCTTTAATAGACTTTTCCTAGCCACCACATAAACATGATAAAAAATAAGAATGAGGCCTCACATACCGTCCACGATATCACAAGATTATCTGGCTGAGTTCCTCGTCCCATAACTTTGTCCGGATTTTTATCAGGCACTGCTTCAGGGGTCGCACAATGTTCAGATGGGCCACTGGGCTCACTTAACCCTATTTTATTCCTTGCCCTGACTCTGAAGGTGTAGTTAGCCCACGGGCTCATTTCAATCTATGGAACAAAAACTTTTATTATACAAATCACATAACAGACACTATGATTATACAGTAATCAAATTCACTGTAACCTATCACAGCTTAATAAAATGAAATTTGTTCGGTAAATTAATTTGTCTGCATAGATAATGTAATACATTCCATTATCTTAAAAGAAATAATTTTTTTAGCAGAAACCTCCTTGGCATAGCGTAATCAAAACACACAGACAATGATTAATACACACACATAAGCATAAAACATAATACAAGAAGAAAATATTACTAACTTCAGTAATGAATTTTACCCTAAGTTAAAGGCTGCAACAATCTAGGAACAAATGTTAAAAGAAATACGAATGCAGATTATGCCAGTTATTAGTCAGTTAAGCTATCATTTGCTTGTACAGCCATATTTCGTCTATAAAAAGAGATCACTACTAAGATGTGTTTAAACAAATGTTTAACTCATTAGGCCCCCCTAATAAAAATTAAGAGCAAATATTTCAGATATAGTGATGATTTTAAGTACTCATAATGCTAATTTTTTCATAAAAAATATTTTAAGGGAATAATGGGAAGACACTAATTAAATAAGAAATAACATTATGTTTTTATTTGTTTATTTATGTTTTATTTACTTTTTCACCTTTCAGCAAGTTTATGTATGACTGTTAAAAATGATTATCATACAAAATGCTCAAAATTTAATTGCCAAAATGAATACATAATGGTTTTATGGCATTTGGGGGCGGGTGCAAAGGAAGAATATTTTTCTTTGATATTTCAGGTGAAGTGTACTTTTATTAATGTTCATAAAAAGCTATTCCATAAATCATTTGCATAATTCAAGAGATTTATGCTTTGCTCAATCATGTATTTAACATCACAAATAAGAATTCAAATGGTGATAAACCATCACTTATTCAATATTATTACTCAGAGAAACCCAATAACTATTCCTATAATAATTCAGCTGTACATGAATTTGTTGAAAACAGAATAGGTTAAAACAATATAATAATAATAAACGAAGCACTTTTTGTTAAAATTATTTGTAACACATTAATTAATATGTCACTCCCTTAACGCTCTAAGTGGCACAGCTTTTTGGATCTGCTCATGAATACAAGTATAAGCTATTATAAACATACCTTAGGACACAAAAAAAAATCTCATGAGCTGATAAATGTGCATGCACTCAAGGGGTTAAAAATATTTTTGGGAATAATTTTCTTTTAAAAAATATTAAAATAACTAATAATACTGATAAAAAATGCAGTGACAGACACTGGGTTTGATCTAAGATCTTACAGTCTTGGTTGGAATTTTGAGTCACACCATTCAGGCTTTTGGAACAGGCTAATAAAAAAGATCAAAAACAAATGTAACATGGAATTTGAACCTAAACTTTTTAATTTATTTTGAAAGGTGCAGATTCTCTTTTGCCCTTTTCAAATAATTTTATTCCCAACTTAAAGAACAGAAGCATGAATACTCATTGCTTAATATGTAGAGGCATTACATATTTTTTTAAAGCAGAAGAGAAGAAAAAAAAAAGTAATGCCCTCGCCGGGACTCGAACTCAGACCTCTAGAATACGCATCGAGTGTGCTGACCATTATACCATGAAGGCATGCTAAGGCAAGAGAAGTACCTTACATAATCCCCCTTTTAAAGTGCGACTGGGGATGAGGGGACCCAATTGCCAAATCCCGGTGGAGGAGAATCATCATCCATTACCTTTTTTTAGCTTGGGCACCACCGTAGAGACATTAGGTATATTTTGAAAGCAGGGGAGAAAAATTAACAATGCCTTAGCCGGGATTCGAACCTCTTGGACGTGCCCAGTGTGCTGACCCCCTACCCCTTGAAGATGTGCTAAGAAGGCGTGAGAAATACCTTACACATACATCTATTGGGAGACGAGTCCATGAAGCTCATGAGAATTTATAACAGGGAAGATGGTAAGCACATGCTTGGAGCTACCATGAATACCAATTTTGTCAACAAATTATTTTATCTGCAAGGGTAGTTAGAGAGAGAAGAAAATTTTAAAATATTCCCAAAATATTGAGGAATCCAATGATACCACCACCAACACTTGAATGAAATGAATACAAGAACCTGCAAAATATGCACAAATGTGTTCGGAAGCTGATGGAGGATATTTTCCACTTTCAGTGTTTGTTGCATAGATAAGCATTAACACTTCATTACTTTCAGTTTTCATCATATCAACTTAAAAGGACATCTGGTAAACTCAATGGCAGGACCTCAGCCGAATTTGGTCGGGCTACTACTAAGGACCGAAGTGGTGGTCACTGTATTATGGAGGCACCTGGGCCACCTTTCCCTCCTATGAAGGGACGGACATGTAAAACCATGCCTTCTAAAGGATTCGAACCCGGGCCCTTTGATATTGCAGTCGGCTCCCTTAACCACTATACCTTCTAGGCAACACATTTGGTACACTATGATGAAGTATGACAGATTTTTGCATCCAACCCTGGATTTGAAGGATTAATCTGATGCAATACTTAAAATGATAACAATGAGGAAAAGGAATGAGAGTTCTGTAATGTGAAGAGCCATATAAAGAGCACTAAAAGGAGCTGGTTGTATTTTAATAAAGCTACTTGAATATGTGAAAATTTCATTCTTCATTTGTTTTAAACATTTTGCTACTTACTTCTCCTATGTATCTTTAATTCTGGCCTGTGTATTGTGATTTGATTCATATATATTAATTTAATAGACACAACTGTATCACTTGTATAACTGGAATGTATGCTCAAAAACATAACTACAAAGTACAAATTAATTTTGAGATATTGCTTGAAAGGTTCTTCTACAATTATAACACATCTTTTTAGAAGTTAAACACGCTGCTCCTCTACCTAACTTTAAGTAAACTAATTAAGACATTTTAACATAAAATACTGTAGCATGAGAAATAATCACAGTATTTCAATCACATTGAAATCACACTAGTGCAATTACAACAGATAAAACAGGATGCATGAACCAATAACAAACAAGATGAAGTTACAACATAATCCAAATTAAGCATGACATACAATTAAACTTTACATTATCTTTTACAAGAATATACTGAACCAGATACAGAACCAGATACATTACCTTGTATCTTGTCTCAGCAGCTGGAATATTCTTAAATGCATCTTCCCAAGTATCAGGTGTAAAAGAAGTATTAAACTGAATTGAATAACTCAAAATGGGAGCTCTCCTATCACCCATTGGCTTCCACACAACTAATGCAGTAAGGCCATCACATGCTACACTCACAATGCGAGGTGGATTGGGAACATCTAAAACAACATTAAATTAAATTTGATTTTAGACATTTAACCAAGATGAAACATTTAGAGTGACATGATAATGATTAATTAAATTACAGCACATCATAGAATAACATTAGCTACATTATCTAGCAAAAATAATTTATTCCAAAAAACACACCACCACTCCCTTTTATGAGCATAACTCAAATCACAAAAATACTTAACATTAGGTAATTAAAAAAATAAAATTAAAAGAAAAAAAAGAAAGAAAGAACAAAGCTACAGATTTAATCTCCTGATTATTGATCCTCGACAACTAAAAGTGGTAAAAATATATTTACGAGTGCCCATTGGCGATTTCTGGCAGTACATGGACACTGAGTTTGTGCAATTCTTTGACGTGTTATTTTGGCTTTGCATAGCAGCGATTTCTAGCGCAAAAATCGCCGCTGCTGTTAAGGAATTTTGTCTGCCACGGACTGAAGACGAGGAAATTTCTAAATAAGGTAAGTATATATTTGCTTTGTGTAGTGCTTAGATCCATAAGAGGTTTTCCCTTTTTATGTTATTTTATTGTTTTGGTTTAAAATATATTTTATAGCGATTATGTATTTTTTGTTTGCCTCTACTGTAGAATTGGGTGATCCTTTGACTTTAGTGAAAATATATCGATGTGTACATGGACAAGGTCAAGTGAGTGCACAATGCCAAGTTTGTGCAATTCTCTGATGCTTTTTAAGGGAAAATAGTAATTGTGAATTATTTGATTTTAATAAAGCATAAGTTCCCAGACATCTGGTATTGCAGAGGAAAACTTGCAGTGCATCAGGTTTCAAATACAATATCCATAAAATTAAAATTGCAACTCTCTGAATAAGACATAAAGTATCCCAAACAGATTTACAAAAAGTTTTCCAAGTCATGACATTGTTTTTGCAGTCTTCTGAGCAATAAGTTAGCCCATCTGGATCATACTGAAGCAAACATTTTGGTGAAAATATTAAATTATCTCCAAATTATATAAGAGAAACTGCAAACATGGTTTAAATGGCTATACCTTGAACTGCGTAAATCAACCAAAACAAAGGATGCTGACTCAGTTGGAATAAGAGATAGTTATCTTTGGTAATGAAAACAAGATAAGATTAAATTGGCTAGCTGCAAAAGCTTCTGAAATATTTCTATGACATGCCAGTGTTAATGACCTTCTAAGAGCAAAGCAAAAACAGTAAAAGGATGTTAATGAAAACCTATACAGAGACTCTAACTATTAAAAATCAACAAGAACAAGGAATCAGCCTAAGGAAGTTTACTTTTAATATTTTGAAAGGCAGACGAAACTCTGAAGCTGTACTGGAAAAACATCCCATAGAACTATGCACCAGATGAGAAATGCAACTAAAAGAGACTTGATCTTCAGAAACATTTAAACATTTTAAAAATCCTTCGTTTTGATTAATGTTTGTAAAACTTTATAACGGTGGGAGGAATGTTAGAAAATGCAATTTCTACATTTTTACTTATACAAATGTATGATTCTGGCAACAAATATAATAACATATTTGCAATTTTTTTAGCTTTACATATGTAGATCACAGCTGTCCCTTTTTTTGGGGGGGTGCTAAATCTCTACACTAGCTGTAAATAAATGTTTTGCTTGTTACAGAAAGGGCCATACTCAGGTTTTTAAATGTTAAAATACAAATACACTCCCTAAAAAAATTTTTTCGCAATAATGAGCAAGCAATATATGGATTGATAATAGAAATCAAAGTAGTTTAAAAATAACTAAAGACAGCTAAACACAGCAATAAATTATCACTATAACACTTGAGAGCTTTAACTTTTATAACATTTTTAAAAAAATAGGTCAATAACTATCAGGTCAATAACTAGAAAATATATGAATTTGTAAATTAAAGGCCTCATTCAATTGAAACATTTAGTGATCGTTAGTCATGATATGTTATCAGTTGCGATTGATTTTGCTGTTTTGGAACACAACGATCACTCTGAGCTCGCAATCGATCGTTCTCGTAGCAATCACTACAAACCCATCATTCGGTGGCAAAAAAACGATAGAAACAATATGGAGGCCGCTTTCACGAAGATAGACTTCAAGTGTGCTAAGAAAAATACTTTAGATCTACTGGATGGGTAGCAATTTATATCAAAGTATAGGGTGTATAAGGATCCTAGCAAGGGGAACTGACTCATTTTCTGTGCTGCACCCAAACGAAGGGCACTTGCTGCTAGTGGACACTAATTTAGCGTTGTGTTGCTTACATTTCTATCGATAGATTTCAACCTAATTCCAAGAAATAGGGATGGATGCACTGCATCATCTAATTGAGATCGTTCCAGAAATAACTTTAGTATGTTCTGTTTCCCGAGAAATGAAGAAATATGAAGAAGAAAAGTTAGCTGTCTTCATAAAGGAATTAAAATAAAATGATACCGTTTGAAGACTTTCATAGATGAAACTTTGAAACAATAGTGCCAAAAAGCTACAGAGGGCAGACCAAACCTGAATTGCAACCCTAACAAACGGTTACGCCGAGTCAGCCTGCATATTTAATAGACATCTTCGAAAACATAACTTCCGACCACGTGATCAACAGCATCAGCCATCAAGTAACTTCTGGCAACCCCTATGAATTCGACTAGTAGGGAAGTGTTTCAATTGAATATGAAAAATCACTCATTTTCAAAAGTGATCGTTAATGCTGGATGTAACATCGAAGTTTGAGTGCTCATCGGTGTTTCAATTGAAATGAAGCCCCCTTTAGTGTACTTAACAGCTGTAGTCTATTATATTACATGATTACATTATCAGTTTTACTCTGCTTAATATTATCAATATCTGCTAGTCATGCCCCCTGGGCAAAATTTATTAAAATTTGTCAAGACAATCCCCCTCCCTTTTCTAGGAATACATAAGTAACCTACATGACAGCTATAACCACAACCGACACATAATGGTTAATGAATGCACTGGATTATACTGCATTATTTAGCAGCAAAGCATGCAAAGGCTATTGTGACTCAGGCACGGAATGCCTTCCCGGAATATTTTTAAAGGGAAACTGGCTTGAATTCATGCTCTACATGGGTGAAATCACAAGAACTCTAATGATGCTAGCCTGTTTGGTGAAACTGAATGCTGACTGAACTGCCAATGCTGTGATTTTTATCACTTGGCCACTAATTTCCATTTAATGTATGTATAATGCAAATCAAATGATAAGCATGTAAAAAATTAAATTTGAAAATCAGCACTACAAAAACCTGGATGTATAGCTTTAAAGATTAAAAAAAAAAAAAAGAGGAAAATGGCGAAAATAGAGCAAAAAAATTTCGAGATGATTGCATACATACGTAACAGTAGTATGGATAAATACACAAAAGTATTAGCAAAACCACCTTAGAGAAAATTGAAGAGTTTCCAGAAGGGACCAAACTATGGGAACCATGAACATAACAAATTTTTAGTTTTAATATCCTTGCCTCTTCCCTTTTTCCCCCCCCTCCCTTGATGTATGTAATGTACTTTTTAAATGCACAACATGAAATATTTTGTCTTAAATAGAAATTTTACGTACAATGGAATAATTATATACAGTGGAATAGTTAGGTACAATGGAAAAAGCTGCAGCAAAATTTCTGTAAGATGACAGCAGTTTGATGCACTATCATTATAGAGAACACATGCTCTGAATTCTGAAAACTACCACCATGAAAATTTCAACAGAAGAAACAAAAACCTGCTCTTATGTAGGTTTATCAACTTCTTTTCGGAATACCTAATTAAAATGTAAAATATGTATGCACCTAATAACTAATCTCTTACAATTTCACAATTTTTCTGTAAAAAATTGCTGAATTGCACCACATTGGTTTGCAAATATATGAATACTTGGATATGTCCTTTTAAACTTTTGACACATATGCTTTAATTATTAAACATAAAAACTTCAACAAAAACGAGAATATTTATTTCTAAAAAGCCAACATGTTCATCAAGATTATTTCAGCCTTTAATTATGCAATTTACATAAATAGAAAAGTTAAGAAAAATAATTAGCTATAAACATACCCTGCACAGTAAGAATGGCTTGAGCTTCGTCTTTGTCTAGTTCTGTCTTTGCTACACATGTAAAAATTCCAGAGTCCAATTCCAATGTTTTACTAATAGTCAGTGAATTATCCGATGCTTGAACCATCCGTGGATCTTGCTCAAAATCTATTTGCTGACCATTAAACAACCACTGAATTTTAAGGTCCAAACTCGAATCTGCTTCAGCATTGCATCGGAATGTTGCAGAATTTCCAGCAGCAACCTCAAAATTTTCTGGAGGTTGAGTTATTTTTGTTTTCCCTACAAAGAGTATATAATTTACAAAACAAAAAGGAAAACTTCAAAATATATTCTAAAAGAGCTACAATGATTTTCTCATTGAAATAAAATTACAAACTAAAAAATACATCCAATCTGTGTCATTACAGATTGCAGGAACAATACATCTCCGCTTGTTTTTTTATATCATATACAAAAAAATGTAAATAATGGCATTCAGCATTAAGTAAAAAATTTTATATTTTTGAAATAAAAAGAAATGATGTATTAACAAAAAAATAACAGAAATGATTTATTCAACATCTACATTCTGCTCTAGCAGTCGGTGCAAATAAGAAGAGAAATTTAGAAGGAACGTAAGAGCGTAAGTCCAATTATCTGATGCACAGCATGTACAATAAATTTTGACAATAAAAATGAAAAACTCAAAGAACAAAGAAGACAAATGACAGATGGAATTTGATTTGCTTTAGTGCTTGTCATCAGGGAGTACCCAAAACTCGCAGGCCTGAATTCATTTTCTAACATAAAATTTTAAAACAAAAACGAAGTTAATATAGCAAAATCACAAAAGGCTGAAATTGTTCTAATAAAATGGGCAATGAAAAATATGACTGATAAGCCAACAAGAAATGGAATACATGTTGGCCAAAAGAACAAAAATGATCAAAAAATTTAGGCAGCATAAAAGTATACCTCATGCAGTTTTTCTAGAACTATATTTCTAATTGTAGGTGAATACAAAATTATAACACAAATTAGTGCAAAACACTTTATCTAGTATAAAGCTAGATAATCACTGGCACACCATGTGAAATTTAATTTAATAAAAACAATGATACATTAACAAACATAACAATTCACAAAAATGCAGTACAAATCCAAATAAATAAAATACAGTACAAAGCCAAAAATTTGGGCATCCAATGTCTGAATATTCTAATATACGAACATACAGGCTATCAGCACCCCACACCAAAAAAAGTATTAATATCAGGGTTGCCACTCAAACAGGAGAATGAAATTCCCTACTTTTCCAGGTGTGATTTAAGAAAATTCCAGTGTATCCGCAAAATGCACGTTGCTAAGAGGTAAATTAATTATGGCATTAATTGAAAACACAAAAATTTGCCAATTACATACGACTTATATCCCCAAAGCATTACTATTAGAATTACAATAGAAGTTAATTTCTCCATTGAAGATTAAGACTAGAATCTGCCCAATCTGGAATAAAATAAGGCTTTTTCAGGTATTTTATATTTATTTTGGAGCATACATAAGCAAAAAATATGTGCATTAAATTTCGTGATGTATGTCATCATACTGCTAGAAATAATTTCAGGAATATGCCAGAGAAAATTTCCTGAAATTTGGAAGTATTATTTACAATTAATAAATAAATTTAGAGGGAAGAAGCAACATTAAATGATACGAATAACATAAAAATAATTAAAAATTGAAGTAGAATAATCAACGATATTTTAGTGAATATAGTTATATTTCATGGTTAGCCTAGATGACCGATTACTATTTTTTAATTTTACTGCAAAATGACAAAAATGGAATTTATTAAAAAAAAAAAAAAAAAAAAAAAGGTTAAAAAGATTTTGCTGTAAAAACCTAGTAAGGTTTTGGAATGATTTTGAAAATTATCGCCAAGACCAAAATGATCCGTTTACTACTTATCATAATGTCGCCAAATCCCGTGTGTACCGTACATAGAGGTTATTCTAACCCACGGAGTATTATACTCCGTGTTCGAACCAAAGAAAGTCTGTGCAAAGAACACAAGGTTCGGTAGACGTAATACTATTACACCGCTAGAAAGCGGTGGAAAAAATTGCCAAGGGATTTGGCGACAGAACCTGGCGGCCAGAATTTCCTTTTCTGCAATGTGTACAGGAAATTGAGGAACACGTGATTAGAAGAAATGTTCTTTGACAAAACGTTCTTCTTAAACTTAAATAATTTAAACTGGGATTTTCGTACGGACAAAACACTTCTTTGATTTTTCGCAAATTTGAAAACGGATTTTCGTTTTTCCTCCCCACTAAAAATAACTAATGCAGTAATTAATTTACTTGCACCAAAAAGTATTTTCTTTTCCTTTAAAGTTTAAAGAAATTTTAAAAAACATTCATTTTATGAACTCTTGATAATGTGACCTTCGAACTTAGACATTGGATTTGAGCTTTGACAACAGATATTTTGCGCATGCGCAGCTGTTTCCCTCTACATTGGAACGGAGCCGCTCCTGATGCAGAGAGGTTTTCCTTCTTTACAATACATATTCTTTGATTCTAACCTCTATTTTACTGTATACCAGGATTAAACCCATTTTGTTTTATACGATAGTAAGTATTTTCTTTAGTTCAACATGTACTGCCCATGCAATTCTCGAGGTTACTGGAAACCAAAAGTTGATGGAAACTTGTTTTGCCTTTCTATCAGACTTTATTAGGCAATCTAATTGGACCTGCGGAAATTGGCTCTATGATTCTATGACGCTCACGCGATTCACAGTTCGCCAAGAAAGTGATCGCTTTCAACGTTGGCGCAAAACTCGCTTTTTTTGGCGGGATCGCTGTATGAAATTCCCTGACTTTTCCAGATTTTTACTAAAATATTTAAATTCCCTGACCTTTCCCTGAATGTTCTGGTCAATTTTGGAATTCCCTGACTTTCCGGTTTTCCAGGTAGTGTGGCAACCCTGTAATATTTCAGAATTCATTCTTTCACACTTTATGGAAGGAGAACAAATAAAAGCAAGTGTGACATAACAGCGACTTTTCTTGTGACTGATATTCCAGCATGTAATTTTCAAACACAGAATCATTGAAACTGCGCCATGGCCAACGACAATACACTGATTGGCACTGTTGGTTGGATACGACTGACTACACTTCTGGCCCTTGAGTGGTTGTGAGGTTAATATTTTTCTATCTCATCTAACCCTTAAAGAATTGGGTGCTTCAGTCACCCAACTGCTCTCTAGGAAAGGCACATTAACAGGATGCACTCTCTTGTGGGAATGAACCATTGATTCTGCTTGGCCTAACTTAGGGGGAAAACTTACATAAATTAAATTTGTAGCCCAACTGCTCTAAATGTTGACACATTGTGAAAGGAACATTCAAGTAGTCATCAGAAAATTTTAATTGGTAAATAATTTTACCATTTTATTTTAGTAATTAAACTCAAAAAAATAATAATAATAATAAAATATTTTGATGCCTCAAACAAATATACACGGAAAAAATATCCAAACAATCACAGATTTTATTATATTTTCTTAAATAAAATTAAAAATACTGAAAATTTCATAAGAAAAACCACTATGAATTCAGCCAGCATTATAAAAAAAACCAGCATTATAAAAATAAATAATTTATTATGCCTAATAAGGGCTTAATAAATTTCTAAAGGCCTGTACTTTACTTATTTTGTTATGTTTTCATAAACTTCATATCATTCGTATATTTACATCATTAAAGAAAGCACACTATTTAAAATTATAAGGTATTATATACAGAGAGAAAAAAATTTCATTATCAAATAAAGACGGACATGGCATTCACAGAGTTAAGCACCTAGGCTTTTAATGTGTTCTGTAATTATACGTGAATTTTTGAAGAGGCTGGATTAAGCTCTTGTTCCCATTAAACTACACAATAATTTTTTTTTTCAAGTTTTGGTTCATTAAGGGTTTTTATATGTTTTGAATAAAATCCCTTTTTTAATTTTCATCTTTTCAGTCTCAACAAGGTATCAATCAAGTTATTTGTTTAAAAAATAATTTTTCAATAATGAGTAATCAATCTTTTCCTCTTTATAATTTTCTTACCTCACACAGTCGAAAAAAACTTCCAGTTTTCAAAAATTAGCCCCAAAATCAGAAAGTAAAATTAAAATATCAGCAAATTTTATTTTAAACAATATTTTATGTTCTGTACAATGGTGTAAACATTATTTTTGGGGGTGGGGGATTTTTTTTTTAGATTTTTTTGTTTGTTCTTTATATGGAAACATATATAACAAATTGTTTCAGCATTAAAATTTCAAAAATCTATGATAAATTTTATAAAACTCATTTCACCGCACTGCATTATTATCCACAAAAAGTGCATCTACAAAATCTGCAAATAGTGTGTCCAGAAAACAGTATTAGAGTAAGACCCCGCGTAATGCTTGTCCAATTAGCACTGTTTCGGCTTAACCAATTTTTCTTGGACTAGTGGTATTCCCTGAAAATTGCACGCAGCACCAAGTTTCCCTAAAATCGAAATTAATTTATCTGCATTATTTCTTCTCTCTAGTGTTCCACAAACATAATTTTATTATTTCAAACATTTGTTGCTGTTAGTGTAAGCATACATTTATGTAATGTAATTATTGATACAGTGGTAAATATTATAATTTTTAGTTTTTAATACGAGTTCAACTAAGAAACAGGAAAGTAAAGCGACAAGAAGCAGCATTTTGCTTAAAAGTAAAATGCTTGTCAACTTCAACAATAAGGATTTTCAAGAATAAATAAAAAATAGTGTCATCAGCTAGAACAACTACAAAAACCTCTGCAATTAGAATAACCTGTTTGAGAATACAATATAGGAGATAAACAAAGACTTTCTATATGGATTGACAACGAATTTGAACGCAATATGCCATTAAGCCAAGCTATTATAATAAAAAAATTGAGAAGAATTTTTAATCACACTCAGATTGAAACAGGTGACACAACTGAAACTTTCGTTGCAAGTCAAGGACGGTTTAATAGCTTAAACATCGTAATGATCTTCATACCATTAGAGGTTATAGGAGAAGCAGCAAATGGAGATATAAACTCTGCAGCCAAATTCCCAGTGACATTAAGAACAATAATTGAACAAGGAAACTATCTTCCAGAATTAATTTTCAATGTCGATGAAACAGGCCTATTTTGCAAAAGAATGCCAAAACATACATTTCTATACCAGAGAAAAAAACGCACACCCGGATTTTAAGCTATGAAAGGTCAC